ATATTGCATAACATCATATATTAAACGAGTATTTTCCCCTATGTATCTACCAGGAATAAAGCCAGTTTGGTTATTACTTATCAATTTGGTTATTATTGTTTTTAATCGTTCAGCTATTGCACCAGATGCCATTTTATAAATATTATTTAGAAGGGTAATTGGTCTCCAGTTCTTTAATTTGTTACGAGGTTTATCTCCTTTTGGGATGAAGTAATAATTCCTTGTTTCTGTGTTTCTGATAGTTCAGATATAGTATAACCATAATTTATTGATCTAAGAATAAAACTGTTTCCAAAATACTTTACACAATTCAACAGTGAAATCATCTGAACCAGGACTTTTATTATTTTTCATTTTTTTCAGGGTTTTGCTAATTCAATAATAGTAATTGGACCTTCTCAACTTACTGATTCAAGGGGGGATAACTTTGGCACAATTTATGTTCTTAAAAGTTCTTAAAAGATCAACATCCAGAAGTAACTGATTTTTCTTATATAAGTTTTCATAGTAGTTTTTAGTTTCTTGTAAGATTTCTGTTTGATCTAAAATTACAGTCCCATCTTCTTTAGTTATATTAGGAATTATCTTACTAGTAAAGTTACGTGATTCTAGCTCACAGAAGTATTTTGTTGGTTTTTCACCTTCACTTTTCCACTTGGCCCTTGACCGTATCATATTACCTGCTATCTTATGTTTTCTAATTTCTTCTAATTCTTTTTTCTTTTCATCTATGTTATTTAAATCTGTATTATTAGGAACTGTTTCTAAGTTTTTAATTTGATTTATGAGATCCTTTTCTCTTTCATTAGATTTTTCCCCACATAGCTAGAGTATGAAATGGTTTTACCCCTTATCTCATGAGAGTTTCCAAGAATAATTGATAATTTACAGTAAAGGTTATTTCATTTAAAGGAATTGCATTTGAATTATTTATGTTGTTTACTGGTAAAGAGTATTGTTGTTTTATAGTGTCTATAGTAGATTTGATGAGAATCAAATATTCTAAATCAAACAATAAAGAGTTATTAAATTTCCATAATCCCCTACTTTTTTGAAAGTTGTGAAAAGCTAAGTGTACCACCATTATAAGCAACTCTTTTGCTATAGCATCGACCACATGGTGGCAATGTCTACACTTCCATGTTAGGTAGGGATGTTACTGGTGTGTTGTCTACACTTCCACGTTCGATAGGGATGTTACTGGTTTGTTGTCTACACTTCCACGTTCGATAGGGATGTTACTGGGGTGTTGTCTACACTTCCTTGTTAGGTAGGGATGTTCCTGGTGTGTTGTCTACGCTTCCATGTTAGGTAGAGATGTTACTGGTTTGTTGTCTACACTTCCGTGTTAGGTAGGGATGTTCCTGGTGTGTTGTCTACGCTTCCATGTTAGGTAAGGATGTTACTGGTGTGTTGTCTACACTTCATTGTTAGGTAGGGAGGTTACTGGTGTGTTGTCTACACTTCCATGTTAGGTATGGATGTTACTGGTGTGTTGTCTTCACTTCCATGTTAGGTATGGATGTTACTGGTGTGTTGTCTACACTTCCATGTTCGGTAGGTATGTTACTGGTGTGTTGTCTACACTTCCATGTTTGGTATGGATGTTACTGGTGTGTTGTCTACACTTCATTGTTAGGTAGGGAGGTTACTGGTGTGTTGTCTACCCTTCCACGTTCGGTAGGGATGTTACTGGTGTGTTGTCTTCACTTCCATGTTAGGTAAGGATGTTACTGGTGTGTTGTCTACACTTCCATGTTGGGTTGTGATGTTACTGGTGTGTTGTCTACACTTCCACGTTAGGTAGGGATGTTACTGGTGTGTTGTGTACACTTCCATGTTGGGTTGTGATGTTACTGGTGTGGTTGTGATGTTACTGGTGTGTTGTCTACACTTCCACGTGTGTTGTCTACACTTCATTGTTAGGTAGGGATGTTACTGGGGTGTTGTGTACACTTCCATGTTGGGTTGTGATGTTACTGGTGTGTTGTCTTCACTTCCATGTTCGTTAGGGATGTTACTGGTGTGTTGTCTTCACTTCCACGTTCGGTAGAAATGTTACTGGTGTGTTGTCTACACTTCCATGTTTGGTATGGATGTTACTGGTGTGTTGTCTACACTTCCACGTTCGGTAGGGATGTTACTGGTGTGTTGTCTTCACTTCCATGTTCGGTAGGGATGTTACTGGTGTGTTGTCTTCACTTCCACGTTCGGTAGAAATGTTACTGGTGTGTTGTCTACACTTCCATGTTCGGTAGGGATGTTACTGGTGTGTTGTCTTCACTTCCACGTTCGGTAGAAATGTTACTGGTGTGTTGTCTACACTTCCATGTTCGGTAGGGATGTTACTGGGGTGTGGTCTTCACTTCCATGTTAGGTAAGGATGTTACTGGTGTGTTGTCTACCCTTCCACGTTCGGTAGGGGTGTTACTGCTGTGTTGTCTTCACTTCCATGTTCGGTAGGGATGTTACTGGTGTGTTGTCATCACTTCCATGTTAGGTAGAGATGTTACTGGTTTGTTGTCTACACTTCCACGTTAGGTAGGGATGTTACTGGTGTGGTGTGTACACTTCCATGTTTGGTATGGATGCTACTGGTGTGTTGTCTATACTTCCATGTTCGGTAGTGATGTTACTGGTTTGTTGTCTACACTTCCACGTTAGGTAGGGATGTTACTGGCGTGTTGTCTACACTTCCATGTTCGGTAGGGATGTTACTGGTGTGTTGTCGACACTTCCACGTTCGGTAGGAATCGATAGGGCGTGCCCTTATTGACAGAAATTCCCACGGGGTCTCCGATATGAATTGTTTGAACCTATGTTTGGGAATGAATAAAACACAATTCTTTTATTTAAAATTCAGTAATTCTGAAATCAAATAAAAGCTGTTTGGGTTTTTCTGGGGTTTTTTTTTTGTTTATTTGGTTTTTTTTAAAATTTTCTTTAATTTGTATTTATAATTTATAAGAGGAAGTTGAAAGCTAGTGTCTATCCTATCTAATGAGGTTCTATCATACACAAGGAGATATAATTGACTTGTCGTAGTGCTTGTATCTGAATAAAGATACTTTAATACAATCGTTTAGTCTGAACGCTTGCCTGATCATAACTAAACACCATGTCTGGTATGTAAACAAGGAGATTTGTAAATGGTAACCTGTTATTAGGCCGTTGTGTCTCTTTTTAAAAAGATCCGCAGGGCCCGTATTTATGAAACCGTTCTCATGTTCACGCAATGTATTCTTTGCTCAAACCAATTTTCTTGTAACTCGCTTAAATCATGTTCAACGATCCAGAAGACAAAAGTGAAAATTGAACAGAGTTATCGACTTTAGAGTAAATATCTTCAATGTTTTCCAAACCAGTGAAAAATAAGATTTTTTTTATCAATTTTTGACGGGAACAATAAACACGGCTTGAGCACAAAATCCATGCTTGAGCATGAGAACTGTTATGAATACGGACCCGCCATATCCATGTGAGGTCCTATTGTCAAAAGTCGCGTCGATGTAATCAAAAAGTATAACCTTGGTCCTCCTGTGATCCCGTCCAAACAGCGCCCGTAATCGGCCTCTTTTTGGTTTCTGCTCAAACTCAATTGTCTTTGCGTAAGTGCATCCCATTATCTATGTCTGGTTTACAGCTTTCTCAACATGGACGAAACCATTGACGTCATAATAAGCATCTATATAGATGCTTCATCGTTGCGTCTATAGGCTTAGTTGATTTTGGAGAAAATGATACCTTTGGTCGCTACAGTATTATTTGCCATTAGTTTGCTTTAAACGTCTTTTTATCATGGTTGTCCCTGCAGGTAGGGCGTAAGAATTGTACTTGCTGCCCCCATTGCATATTCGTAAGAGGCGACTAAGTTTGGGGTCGTATCTTTTCTCTTCTTTCTAAAGAACTTTCTTCTTCCTAATGCCTCCCTTGACAATGCCTCACCTTTGGCCTGTAGTTGAGCGTTCGACCCTGTGTGGAAGGCTTTGGGTTCTGTCCCCTGACAAGACATATCAGAGTCTGTTAAAATGGTAGTTTCTACTCCTGCTTAACGCTCAGCAATTTATATGTGGGACGACTTGTTCGCTCGTTGTCAGTATAATGTGACCGGGTGGAGTGTCCTGCTGTGTGTCTTTGGCAGTATACGTATATTTCAGTGAGGTAGCACTATAAAGTCGGCATCAGTTCCACGCTATCACAAGGAGACAAACACGAACATATCGCAGTCTCCCAAAATACACACGCATACACTATACTCGCATGTATCTTGCACACAGGAGAGGCCGTCCTTAATTGACCATAGCTGTTGATTGGACGTTAAACAATTCTAAACCAAAACCAAACCAAACCAATTTAGCATGGTATGTTTGTTTTTCACTAGTATGATAGTACATGTACATAGTCCTCCTCACCTTGACATCGATTCCTGTTTTTAAAACTTGTTTTTCCTCTAGGCCAATCATGATATACTGAAATATGAACGTAATATTTGTTTTGGTTCTTGAGATAAAGTGCTCAGAAGATATCTGGAATAAATATTACGAAAACAATATGGACGAACATTTGAAACAGAATTTAAATACTAATAAACGATACAATAGTTTATAACTGTTAATGGAATTTAACTGTTAAGTCATTTCTTACACTTAAATTACATGGGAAAAGCAATAAAGAAAAACCGACTGAGAGAATCAATTTTCTAAATCATTTCCTCCCAGATGACAACCAAGCTTCTTGGTAAAAATGGATTTTAACATTATTTAGCCTTTTCATTATAAATTATTTATAAAATTCAAATGCTGTTGTCGTGGGAAAAAATCCATAATTTTATTTGAAACTATATTAAGAGTATTTCTGGAGAAAAATATATGAAAAAGAAAAAGAAAAGTTTTAGCCTAAGCGTTCATTGTAAGGAACGTTAAACTCCGATAAGAATTAGGCTTACTGTTCATTTCTCACCAGCCAGACGTCCGTATTTTAGTCTTCCCCTATATGGGAATCGGAATCATGTCTATGTTTTGCCTGTAGGATATATTTGTGTATGCTTTAGCAACACTGAAAAGCAAACCAGAAACGAAAATGACAGAACTCGGGGTGGACCCTTCGGTAGATATGTTTCCGTCATTTATATATATTTTAAAACATTCACAGTGAACCTTGTATGATTTACGCATTTTTGTGTGATATGTGTATGTTGATTTGTAACTGTGTACAGTTTTATTAAGAAAATGGACGACGTCACGATTGTTGTTATTTTTATACCCTTCCTAGTCCGACTACGCAGTACACACTGCCAATAATAACTAAGTAGATCGAGCTGTACTTATTTTAACAACTTTGAACTTTAATGTAACATATCACCAACGATGCTGTATATGCCTCTCTGATTCTGATAATGTACATATTATGTATCATGATTGTGTTTACACTTCTGAGAATTCTTTATTTGGAATAAGACCCGTGATATACCATATAAACAAAGTACCGTGTACAATCACGGAATTAGATTAGTCCGTGGTACCATACAGGAGTTTGCAGTTTCGTTTTGATAGTACTAAGTAGTCATATATTACTACCTGGCCTCCACTGTTCTAGCCCAAGTTTCCCCTGGCCCTGAGTGGCACCAGACTTAGACATTTTGTAGATACATTGTAGATGTCTTATAGATGTTCCACACCAGACATCTACTGTACATGTAACGTTATCTGTCAAAATGTCTAAGTCTATAAGTGTCAGGACTAGATGATACGCAGGCTAACTATTTGTGAGTTTTTGTTGGAAACAATTATAAATAATTGTCTTAAACCCCTCCTGTCGCACAATGCACTGTCTGGTTTATTTGTTCAATCTGATCATGTCGGCAGGTTTGTGTAAATCTATTGACATCTGTTTTATAGATGAATGAAAGGATAGAATTTACCAATGTATCGTTAGATGCAGAGGCCCTGTCACCTATAAAGAAGAAACAGCCCAGGAGGATCCTGCACTTTAGTGATGGCATCCTGGAGGAATACTCTACTGACGAGGACGAGGAGGAAAAGAAACCAGCTGAGCCTCCTGTAGACCCTGTATGTTTGTTATACAGTATAACCCCACTTCCTCGAACTCGGTTTACTCGAATACCCCTCATTCATCGAACAGTTTATTTTGTCCCGATCGGGTTCGTATATATTCTTTGTAAATAGCCCTGGACTAGCTGAACCGAAATTTGTCCCTGACTCTTCATTGTCATAGTATTGATTCTATCTATTCGTCGAACCTGTGTGACATATCACGCCTGTATTTTCCTGTGTATCACACCGGCACTGTGAAAACACCTCTGGCTAAGACTACAGTTTACCAGTATTGGTGACATGATTTACTTAATAGCATATAGTACCGTTTTACAATACGTACGTATGTTTAATAATTATCACTCAAGATTTGACAAATATATAGTTGACGATCTAGGACCAACCTCGGATTACTCGAATACCATGTATTCCTTGAACTATTAATCTGGGACCTATGCGTTCGAGTAAATGGGGTTTTACTGTAGTTTGTAATTTATCAGCTGTGTTTTGTAGTTATCCTGGTCCAAATGACCAAGGTATATGCTATTGTAATACTGCAACACTTGACATTTGTTGTCTGTCAGACAAATTTTCATCAAGCAACTTTTTTAGCCCACCATCATCTGATGGTGAGACATTCAAATCACCTTTCGTCCGTGGTCCGTTCGTCCTTAAACAATTCTTGTTATGATATCGCTTTTTCTCAGAAAGTACAAAAGGGATATTTCTCAAATTTGATAAGAAGGTTCCCCTTGGTCTGTAGTTGTGCATGTTTACTTTAAAGACTAATCATAAAAACAAAATGGCCAAAAAGTAGCCATCTTGAATTTTAGCAGTGAATGTTTGTTACCGGTATTTCTCAGGAATTTTTTAAGGGATCTTTCTCAAATTTTGTGTGTAGGTTCCCCTTAGTCTGTTGTTGTGCATGTTTACTTTTGAGACTGATCATATTAACAAAATGGTCGAAGGTGGCCTGGCCATCTGGGATTTTAACAGTGAATGTTTGTTAACTCTATTTCTCTTGAAGTTTTAGAGGGACCTTTCTCAAATTTGATATATTGGTCCCCCTTCAGTTTAGTTGTGCATGTTTACTTTTGAGACTGATCAGATAAACAAAATAGCAGACAGACGGCCATCTTGGATTTTGACTGTGAATGTTTGTTAGCGCTATATTTCAGGAAGTTCTGGAAGGATCTTTCTCAAAATTGACATGTAGTTTCCCTTGGTCGGTAGTTGTTCATGTATACTTTTGAGACTGATCGTATAAGTAAAATGGCCAAAAGGCGGCCATCTTGAATTTTAGCTGTGAATGTTTATCGCTATTTCTCTGGAGTTCTGGAGGGATCCTCCTTAAATTATGTGTATATAGGTTCCCCTTAGTGTGTAGTTGTGCATGTTTACTTTGAAAAGTGATCATAAAAACAAGATGGCCACATAAAAAACAAGATGGCCACATGAAGTACTAATAAGATCTTTCTGATATTGTAATGATAAGGCCTTTTTAGGTCACCTGAGACAAAGTCTCAAGTGACCTATTGCGATCGCCTTTTGTCCGTCGTCGTCCGTCGTGCGTCCGTAAACAATTTACATTTTCGACTTCTTCTCCAAAACCCCTGAACCAATTTCAATGAAATTTTGCAGGGACCTTCCATGGACAAAGGTCAACAAAAATAGT